AGTCAGTCTTTGGGGAGAAGGCAAGAAGACGCAATTTTTCTGAGAGGCGCTCTTGCACGAGGTGATCCCAAGGCGTGCTGAGAAGCTTCGCATGGTTTCCGCACATGTGAAGTAGACAGGCAGCGTGTGACCCTGTCCAACCGTCACAATGCAGCTCTTTCTGTGTTGCAGCTGGGGAAGGGCAGATGAGGCAAGAAGTCATCAGATGCTGCAATTACCATGGTTTTGGATCGCTTCTTATGGTTGAAGTTAAGTGCAGCGCCCTTCCCTGTCAAAAAAAGCTTGCAGCTTTCACGCATGCTGTCAAACTAAAGGTCTTCGTTGAGACGTTCAGGCCGGAGAGGCAGCCAGATACACTAGCTGATTTGATCTTGTTGCTGACTTCCATTAGTAGCTGACTTCCATCAGTTAGGCATGATGCAGTTGAATACCATCTGACGCTTGGCTTCAGAATAGTCTCAGATGCGAGCTAAAAGCACGCTACCATGGCTCATTCCCCAGTGATGTCTTCTCAACAATTGAAGCCAGAAGGCATTAGCCCTTCATAAGTCGGAGTGCCTCACAAATCTGTCTAGCATGCAAACAGGAACAATTGGATACTTGAAGCTGTATCAGCAGCCTGTATTGGTACTCGTCCGTGCAAGCACAACTGGGTAATAGACGCAGTTGAAGCAGCAGCAAGTTGACGCTCAATTTCTACAAGAAAAGGAAGGTTGGTGGAACAGCTTACGTCACGAATTTTTGACTAGTCAGTGATCGGCCGCTACCTTGAGCTTCAGCCCTGTTCTTGCCCACTTTGTGGTGCTTGCTCTGGGAGATCACAACAATCGCATGTTGCTAGTGGGAGCATAACCATTCGGCGGATCAGGTTGCAGTCGTCCTTCTACCATTGCCATCGTGCTCCTATGAACTTGCTCTATCCTGGCATCCTGCCAGGCCTGCACCTTCCTGAGCTTTTGAGATCAAAAAGTCTGCACTTCTAGGGCCCCTCAAGCTTTCCATGTCATTTCTATCCATTCTTTTGGCCGTCCATACTGGGCAGTACAGCCATGCCGCTAGCTCCCTGCCAGCAGCCATTGAAGCGCCATCACTGTCATCTTGCTCTTCCGGTAGAAGAGCCAGCACTACCGTAGTGACTTGGGAATTCACCTTTTAATAATTATTTTGGCCCAAAACGAAAATTCAGAAACTAAATTGGACCCTGGGGGAGAAAAGGAGAAATATTAAAATTATTCAAAATCAGCCCAGATTGCTGACAAACGAGGCAAAAAAAGCAGAATCTCAAATTTGGAGAAATGTAAAATAATATCTCTCATCGGAGGGGGACCTGCCATCTGGGGAGTTTGTCAAGAGAGTTTGGAGAAATCTTGGAGAGTTTGACGAATCTGAAAAGTTTCGCGGAACTCCAATCGTTCGGTACAGACGTAATTTGCTGACGTCAGTAAGTTGACATAAATCGAACACAAAAAATATAAGCGATACGTGCGGACGACTGCTGCCGGAATTTGAGCAAATATTTAAGTGAAAATATAATTTATCGACGGACCTCGTAAGAACGTTTGTAGAGCCGCGGGCGGTCGGGAACGCATTAACAGGACCGGTACTAATGCCTAAGGTCGACCTTAGGCCTTGACTTGTCATGCTACCCTCAAAACTCTTAATTTGATGTGTCAATACATCAGCGTGACTAAACTTGCTATAGATCTCAATACTCTATCTATCATATTTTTTTGCAGAGACCATGCTACCTCTCTCGGTGTGACAACTCGTCTGTTGGATTCATTGCTACACACTGCAATGCACGTTCATGAAGAAATTTCGAAGCATGTTTCTTGCTAACCACATTACTGCAAAGCCATACCAGGGAAGTTGTTTAACCGACCCATTAGTTCGCTTTGAAGTACTATACTTGCTCTCTAAATATTATAGCTTGAAGCATTTTCGTTGCTGACGTTATACAAAGCTGGTATATTTCTGGTAAGTGTTAATGTGCGCGTTTTTCATGTAGTTCATGATTGTTGTTACTGGTTCTCAGATACTTATATTAACCCGTTGTTCAGTATTTACGCATGGTGCATTTATTGACATGTGAAAAAGCATAACACTAATGGCATACATGTTGTAACATGTATGATTCGATTAGGGAATACTTGACAGTACCTCCAACCGTTTCTCATTACGTTCATAAGCGAACTACGCAGTCGAACCGTTTCAGAATTCGAAAGGGTTGAAAACAGTCATTGCTATACAATTGAATACAATTGGTGTTTTACCATGCAATCCTAGCTATCGCACAAGGCACTGGTTCAACTTCAACCATCGACTTACTTTCGTTTTCTACTTGGCTTGTTTTTCAACCACCACGAATCATCTGAGTCCTGCAAAGTATGTCTCAAGAGGGTTAGATGTGTGTCATGCATCGATGGACTCATTGTGGGATGATGCAACCCAATATCATCGACGACTAATGATTTGTTGTCAAGTGCTGGTCATTAAGATTGTGCACGTGTTTTGTACAATCACTGACTCACCTCTGTATTTACCATTTTTTCCACGAACCATTGCTTTTCGCTTTCCTCCCAACGCGAGGCCGCTCCTGTGAAGCCGTACGTCTTGTACAAATACCTGTTGCACATGGTCGACGTTCGTTTAAATTGAAGCCCAAAAATCGTCTTTGATGCATTTGAAACTATCATCGGTTTTGATGCCTGCTACAAGTCGAAGTTAAGAGGCCAATGATTCTCGATGATTCGTGATGATACACAAGGTGCTTACTTACCGATATCCCGCTGCCTCTCCGTACACTGCCTCCATTGCGGCATCGAGATCGGTCAAAGCATCGAACCGACGTCTCGATGTCCCCGGTAGCCGCGACAAGAGGGGTTCTAGCAGGTCCACCGAGTCCAACGCGCTTCCTGCAACGTCATCAACTATGCAAACTAGGACGTTGATTCGAGCTTGCCTCGACAATTTTGGATCTACGCAACTTGCATACGCGTCACGGTATCCTAGTCATTTGACGATGATCATTGGATATAGCATACGTCTTGGATCTCTCACCTAAATCTGATGATCTCAACCGATGCTCGAATTCCTGGAATGTTTCGTCGTCGAGCGAGTGCGAATGCCCTAACAAGAGCGCTTCCCAGCATTCCCCAACCCTGCAAAGAATGATTTATTTTGACATGTATGCGCAGTCATGATGTTCCATATGTAGATCAGCTTAGTATAAGTTCAAAGAACTTTGTGGTGCTGGACTTGTACAAGTTTAAATTGAGGAGAACTTACCCGATTCCCCCGTTCTTGATACGTGTCGACAAGTTTGACTGAAGTCTCGGTTGGGAAGCGTTGTCTGCATGAAATAGAGTAGATTGTTAGTCTACCATTTGTGTTTTCTATCTATCCGCCCTATAAATAGGCTGTCAAGAGGTTTCGGTACAATTTGCAAATTGGTATACATATTGAAGCTGCGCATAGGCATTTTTTGTCGTGGGGCCTCACATTAACGTGTTTATCATACGAGAGTTTGCGGGCTTACTGAACGCCTCCGCAAGTCTCCTCAGCGCTTCGGATGATCCATGGGGAGAGGACGATGTATCGTCGGAACTGGATGATTGGTCTTGCTTGTCTTTTGCAACTACGGCATCCTCCTTCTCTTGCAACATATCGAGTGCGGCCCGCATGGTCTTCAATTTTGCAAAACCATCCGCCATTTCCTGAAATAGACACACATTGTTGTGCTTTAAAGTCAACCCGGCTGTACGTGTCTGCAGGCGGATTGCAGATTTCTCGAAGCTGCCGGCCCACAATCGTGTGCGTTACAGCCGTACATCGTCACACTCGTACAAACCCAATTGGAGCTTAATACTGGGCAGCCCAATTGCCTGAGGACAGGACTCCGCAAAGGGTTTGCGGCAAACAGGGCAAAAGCTCTCAGTGACAACGGAGCTGCGCGGTTGAAGCGTCTACTTCGACATGGTTCCAATCTGTCCCCCAGCGATTTCAAATTTGCATGCGCTCCGGCTGTAGCTAGATGAGCATGAGCCGGTCTGCTCAGGCTGTCCGAGTCAACAAAAAACGATGTATAAACGCGAAAGGCTGTTGTGTGTATACAAATCATGCGCCCATGTGCGTAGAGCGCGTCAGCCACAAAGAATTGTTGGGACAATTGTGTAACAATTGTTGCTGATTGTCCCTGTGCTGAGAGGTCTTTTTGATACACTAAACCATTTTCTCGACCTGTCAGACTGATTAAGTATGTTAAACGTCAGCCGGAGCTACTTTCTCCCTTTCCAAACGTGCTTTTGTTCCCCCTTGACTTGTCTTCTTGTGGGGATTCTGGTGACGACACCCACCTCCTCTTAGGCCCCCCCGCAGCGCAGCCCACCCGTCTGACCCCCGCTCGAAGGCCGCCACGTGGCCAGCTATTGGGTCCTCCGCCACTTGGCCAGCTTATGCGTCCTCCGACGATGACACAGTTCCAAGCAGCACCAAATTGGGAGGATATCGTCTTCCCGGCAGGGTTTCCCACGGACTTTTGTCCCGGCCGGCCAGCTGCCGGCGCCCCCCCGGTTCTGCCGGCTCGGTAGCCAGCATTTGGTTTACCGGCCGGCTGAGCCCACTAAGCGCCTGCATTTTCTGCCGGCTGACCAGCCGGCAGGGTGCCTTCGGCACCGGCCGGGGTCTCTTCTCGGCCGGCCAGGTCCAAGTGTAGCTGCCGGCTGTGGGAAACCCTGCTTCCCGGAAAGGGGGGGTCCGCCGCTTCCGCTCCAAGGGGAGATCATCGGAAGGGCCGGCTGCCCCACCCCCCCGCTTGCGGCGCCGGAGGAACGCCTCCGAGGGCGCCTTGACGGGGGATCCCTTCCCGGCCTTCCCCGCCACCGACTTGGGAGAGATCTGCAGCGTTCGGCGATTTGCCGGTGTCCCGCTGCCGCTCTCGGGCCGCTCATGCCAGCCGTCACTCCGGCCCCGCTGACGTCACTCGCTGCGCGTAAGCTTGTTTCGGAGAGCAGCAGCTTCTCATGCCGTCCTTCGCGTTGACGTCGAAATCAGCGGGCCCTGTTTCGGCAACCGGCGCTTCTATTCCGCCGCTGTGGTGGGTCCGAGGGGTCTCAGGGGCCTTGGATTCGTCGAGGGACATGGAGGCCATTTTCACGAGAGGGTGAAGAGGGTGGAAAATGACCGGAAGGAGGAAGCGCCACTCAGGAGGGGTCGTTGACGCCTCCTCGACGGAGGTCCGCCTTGCTGCCAATAGTTCCGTCAGGTCCGCGACTTGGTGAAGAGCTACTAGCAAGCAAGGGGGGCATCAGGTCAGGATATGCATCCGCTCGAGACCGCCCCAACTCCGTTGTACTATTCCTTTGTCCCGTTGTCATAAGGATGTGTAAAGGAGCAAACGAAAGAAGAATGCAACCACAAGCCACGTTAACCCAGGGGAAAGGCGATGCCAACAAACGGTCGAACCGTACCTGCTTGCCGGTGCGAGAATCCAACTTTGAATGGTTATGAAAGATTTCATTACAGAATTGAAAAGCCACCTGTGGCACGAGATTTGTATCGGCCCAGAGAGCGATGTGCTGGCCACCTGGACTACCATTTCCGATAAAAGACATTACAAACGGATGGAAGGAGACGTATAAGAGGAAAGATAATCCACGAATAAACGATTGCAGAAGCGTCACCCAGCGCTTGTCGAGAATAAGGGTGTCCAAGAAACCAGGACCGTACCCGCTTGCCGACACCAGACTCGGTCTGGTCGACAAATAAAGGCCCTGAAGATCCCAGGCAAGGATGAAATGTTAAACGCACAGGGGAGCCTAAGACACAAAGAACACCAGAACCTCATCAACCAGTTGCACAATGAAGTCACTCCAATGGATTGGGGGGTAACCTGCTTGCCGGCGCGGGTGTCGATCGTGACCCCCTGCGTAAGTCCTGAGTGGCCCACCCTGTTGTCCTTAGTGGAGTCGTCACAGCGTATTTGCCATCATCTTGTAGGCCGTCAAAGCACAGGTACAGCTCCGAGCACCTGAGGTCGCCCGGCTTGTACTGAACCGGACTCTACCCCGAATTTTGCACCATGCAAGTCCAATTCAACGGTTCATTGGTTTTGGGCGTTTGAGTTTGAGATGTATCGAAGCTCTGAGGATGCGTATGTCCTTTCGACGCGGGTGCAAAGAGTGGAGCGCAGCGTCAGCATGTGCCTCGAAAGGGAGGACCGGTACCAAAACGTAAAGGTGAGCCTCGGAACGAGCAAGCTGCCTGCAACCAAATCAGAAGTGCAAGCGGGACGCGCAAATAAATATGCTCTTAGTTCTCGTAATCAGAGCGGAACGGGATCGCATAACGTTCTTAAATATATGAAAAGGCCACCGAAGCTTGACTAGGCAATTGCCCACCTGTCGGCAAACTCCTTCGATGTCTGCAGCAACCGCGGGAGCTCGAGCAGTGTCGAGCCCCCGCAACCGCGCCAAGGCGCGTACCGCCATCTTTCGCGCTACTCGATGCTCTCTGACGACGCTGCCAGATGTTTTTCCTCATGCCGGGCGTCCGAAAGTGCCCCTTGCACTTGCGTCCACTTTGCCCGCTACGTCTTCTTTTCCCCGCTCTGATTCCCACCAATTCTGGAGTGCTCCCACCCGGTCTCGCGTGCTGCCACACGTCAAAGTTTCTGGCCGTTCAAACTCCCCTAGAGTAGCACGGGAGCACGAAAGTCTTCTTCTCGTTGCCTTTCTCTTTCATGAACTTGAAGTTCGTCATAAGACAGCTCGCGTCATAAGGTCCCAACAAACAACGGGCTGGCTCGCGTCAAGCATTGGCTGGCCGTACACTGTTTTACCAACCGTAGCGCCTCCCCAATGACAATGTCCGTAACCCGGGGGGAATGCAGAACTGTTTTGTATGCAGCTTTGGTTTGCCGCCTGCCCGCACCGAACCTGGGCCTGAACGTTGGAGGAGTGCGCGCTTCGTTGCGAAGTGGTCCTGCGTCTGCTAAGTTTCCTCCCCACATGTGCCGCCCGGAACTCGTGTATGGACCATCGCAGGACGTCGGTCGTGAACTCGGCGCTTTCCGCTAAGCTGCCTAAGTCCGCTAAATCCTCGACGTCAATCTGCCGGACCCGCACCATCCGGTCCACGTGCAGACACTGCACTCCGTTTCGCAGCTCGTTTTTGAACGGCTCTGATTCCGGTGTTTCCGGCAAACCAATTAAGGGGGCAAACTCCGGAAAGTTGATGGCGCACTCGACGAGCGCCCTCTTCAAGATGACGTCGTTCCCGATCACCTTGGCAGGTTGCCACGTCAGCCTCAAATTGACCAGCGTCTGTTTCGTTTCCTGACTGCCCTGCTCCACCAACCATTCGAGGCACATGTGGGGGCCAATTTCCTGCACAAGGTACTCAAAAGTGTTATGGGCTGATCGAAAGTGACCGACAATTTGGGGTGATGTGAATCGGGCCCACTGGCTGCGCTCGCGTCTGATTATATGCAACCGGGCCACGACAAAGCACCGAGCTCGTGCTGGCGCTCTAAGAAGATGCCTCCAGCAAGTGCATCGTGCCCAACTTGTAAAGCTTGTCGAGACATTCGGAAAGGTCCTGCACAGTGGAGAAGTTGGCTGGGGTAATAAGCCAAAAACAGAGTCGGCCGTGGTGTCTAAGAATTAGGAGACGCCAGGTTGTTTCGAGCCGGGCGCTGCTCCTGGCACTGGCAATACCGGAAGGGCGCTGCAAATCGTAAAAATATGGCAGTAGAGTCTGACGTCATCGTGATCAGTAGGACGGACAGTAGAGAACGTGACGTGTAGTCTCGACTGAGTCAATGGGAAGCGCTTCCGTTTCGGCCAGTTCCAAGCAAGCCTCGGTCGCTTCCAAGTGGTTCCGAAATTCAGTACAGGGCGGCACAGCGGATTGTTTGAGCGAGACACGCTGCAATTTTCAGCTCGGTCCGCAAAAGGAAGGCGTCGAACAAGCAGGCCTTTCCAAAAAAAAAGCCAGAAGCAAAAGCGGACGATAACATATAGACGTTTTGGAAGAGCGGAGCCGGTCTTGCGGTACTTGACAATCCTAGGTTCATTATAATTAGTAGGAAACTTAAATTTGATAGGCGCCGGCCTGAGTATACAAGTACAAGATGCTCAACTTCATACTCTTCTTGTTCACCTCTCCATGATCTGGAGCACTGACGTCTCGGCGCTAGCAATTGCGTCCATCAATGCAATATTAGCGCATAAGCTACGAAATCCCTTCCTAGCTAGGACGATTGTAGAATCCCAACAGCAGACTCTATGCGAATAGACCTGGGGGCATGGGCTGCCCGCAGCTACGTACATGAATATTGTGTGATTACGCAGACAGCTATTTCGAACCTACCTCACCTGCTTTACAAATTTGTGCCGTGTTTCTAAAGACATGCATCATCAATGATCATGCAAACGCCTCACGAATCACGAGTAGCATGAATCTAAATGAAGCTTTGAGGCTCTGGAATCATCCGACGGCAGAAGCTAGTAGAATTCGTCCTTCCAAACTTCCAAGTTCTTTCGACCGTCGATATTCGTGTGCGCGTTATTCGTATTATCTCAACCGTCACCCTTGCCTCGAGAATATTTGGGCAAGAAGGCTAGTGCGTTTCATTGTGAGGGATCCCTCTGCGTTACTCGAGTCGTGTTCAGCCGCTCAGTCGACGCGCACATGTCTTTCGAGCACGCCAAGTGGCGGCGACAAAATTCTTGCAGGCATGCATGGCCATTGCTGGCATTGGCATTGTTGGCTATAGGCTTAGGACTAGGTCCGATAGGGAAGTTTAACCGTACTGTACTGTAGGTAGCTGTGCCTACCTGCTATCGGTGGTCCTGCCAACACTCAGTGGAACAGAAGGCCGCACTCAAATACTCATGCCACATTGCAAGCCGACCAGTGTATTGGGATTTGAAACCACCACCACTACTTTAAACTTCAGTCTGACGGCAGTCAGAAGCCTTCAAGTGTCTCTTCCACATGGTCACATCATTTACAATCAATCTGCTCAAAAGCAGAGCTGCCGTTGCAACTGCCAGCGGCTACCAGATTGCCGTTAGCCTTCCCAGTTGTTCCTTGCGAGAGGTTTCTACTTTCTTTCCTTTGCCAAATCATATTTCAAGTCGGTTTCTAGTGCAAGCCCGTGCAATGTCGCAGCAGTCGCAGCCAGAGCTCCAAGAGGGCGAGAAAGTGGCCTGGAAGTTTGGCGCCGGCAAAGCAGTGGGCCACGTGGACCACAAGCTGACGGAACCGACCAAGGTTGGCCTGCTCGAGCAACATTTTTGAGATGCTGCGAGCGTTGGAAGCTCATTATCAACCTCCGTATATTGTCTCCGCTGGAATGGTGGCTTCTGGTACACATATGAGCTGCATGCAATGAAATTGTGTTGCTTCTGCCCACTAAAGGCCACATTCTGCGAAGGCAAACCTTCTGAAAGGCTTGCCAGGACAGCCTTGTGCGAAGCAAGGTCAGCGGTCTGGTTAGGGTCCCCTCCTTCTACCCCAAACATCGTTCTGGCAGCTACCTGAAGGACGAAAACCCTGACTTGTTGAGACACTGCTGAAAACAACCAGTAAGCGAGACTCGCACAAAATGTGACCAACCGGTCGCTGAGTATCCCTCCCTTCGTGGTTCACTTGCATTGACATTGTGAGCGAGATCGAGAACCTAGTCAATGAGTATCCTCAGAAGGGTACAAATGCAACTTTCTACTGCCACATGTGGAGACAAAGCTGGAGGCTTTCCTTGTTATTCGGCAAGTACTTCCTCATGTCATCTCTGGCTAGTTCAGGTATGAAGGCCGCCACACATAATGGTAGTGACTCACTCAGCCAAACGCTCTGAGGTGGGTTCAGTGCTGATGTTCAATCTCCCTGCAGGTCGGTAGCAGGACATACAAAGCCTCTGAGGAGAATCCCAAGTACCTGGTCCAGTCCGATAAGAGCGGGGGCAAGGCAGCCCACAATCCAGACAAGCTCGAGAAGCTGGAAGACTAGAAGAATGAATCTCCTCGGAAGCTATAGTTGTACATATGTTGCTGAGTGTCATTGTCGACGTCTGAGTATAACGTGTCGACAATAAGGACCGCTGATTGTATCATGGAACCAACATCAGCTTATTCAAGTGGAAGTTGGAAAAGTAAACCATTTTTTGAAAGTGTAAAGACAAGCATTGGGGTACAGCTGTTGGGTAATTGTTTTACTGGGTTTTGAGATTGAAGAAACTGATTCAATGTTGTTTCGAAGGAATGTTGCCTGCCACTCAATCGACTTCAAGAGAGTAGCTTAGAACATGCCGCGGTGGCATGCCTATCGCCGTGCAATTATCTGTCACTTTGATCGTGACATATGTCACAACGACCGCGCAACACGCTTCATCCGCACACGCCGGCTTCAGACTTCACTGAGCAAACACGAGATTCTATGCGTTTGAACGCATGTTGTCGGAAAGGAATCTTTGAATATCTAGGCTCATGTAATGCCTAAAGTTTGTAAGTGAAGTACGGGCCACGACAATTTCTGCCTCCAATTATATGGGATTGGACTGGGCCTGAGTAAATAATGGCCGCCCGCTCAAATTATGCATGTGTGTAAAGTATGATCCTTACTTTGAGAACAGTCATAGAAAACGGATTGAAGCTGTACTGAGACAATCTTAATTTTGATCATCTGGTGTGCAATCAAGGGCAGCTCACTCTTCGCGGTGGCAAACGCGATGATATGTGCTCATCTAGCCAGCCGCCGTATGTCGATCATTGCGAATATGCAAATTTGTCATACTGATACATAATTGTGGCAGATCGCTGCACATGACATGAACGGCCGCGGATGGCGCATGCACGTGATCGCTCATGACCTCAGACGGCATAACGAGCACACTCATGCTGTACCCGCTACATTTGTGTTCGGCCGCATGCATCATATGCGCTTTTCTCAGACAAGGCCTGCATGAGAGCATACCGACATGTGGCTGGTATGAAGCCGCTGCCACAGACGGTGCCGGGCATGGCCTGATACAATGAATGGGTCGGCCACCTACCCGTTGCGTTCAATTCATAAAATGGCCAGCGTTGCAAAATGTTGCCCTGTACAAATTGTCGAATGCACCTTCCCGAATGATTTCATTTCGAAGGAGTGTTGCTCCTGTCGAAATGCAATCTTTGAACACCGTTTCGCGGGTTCAACATCAATGCTGGACTTCGACACTGAAACCAACAAAGTCAACAATTTATGCTTTCAACCGGACCACTTACCTGCCAAATCATAATCAAAGCGCTATGTGAAACTTCACGGGAGCCCCTTCGACACATACCGACCGTATCTACAGCATGCCGAGCTTCTGAAGCCGTTCTTCGTGTGTTGCTGCAAGCACGAGGAGACGGAAATCAGGAGAGCGACGCAACTTTCGCTGGCTTAGCGAACCCTAGCATTGGCCTGAGCTGTACCCGCGCACGGACTGTCACCTTGCGCCACAGGCATCCTGGACCATGTCTCCTCAGCAGACCCTGTTCTCCGTCACCGAGCCAACAAGCTTCATCTTCGCGTAGAGACATTTCAACCAAGCGAATTGGGGACCAAGCTCTCCCTTGTCCGAACGGGCAGCAACGGCAAAACGCGGAAACGGTGCAAATGTGCGAGGGCAGTTGCAGGTGCTCACGCTCGGCACCCCTGAGCTTGAGCGGCACGTGCGAGTGTCCCCGGGGTGCGGGCTTGGCCTGGCCCGCTGCTGCAGGGGCAAGCTCGAGCAGGGCCTCGCGCAGGATGCCCGCAGGGAACAGCGTGCCGTGGAGCAGCCGCTCCAGGTGCAGGCCCACCTGGCGCGCAGACTCTGCGAGAGAGCGGGCAGAAGTGTGCGCTTTAGCCACCAGGAAAATGCGAGCCCCTCGAGCGGAGCAAGCAGAAAAAGAAGACCCAAGGCGATTGGGTGGTACGAGACTTCACGTGCTGAAAACGCAGCGATGATGGAACACGCAAAAGTGGCCTTTGACATTCTTTTAGTACTCTCTGCAATGACAAACACTTTGGCATTGATCGCCAGCCTTCCCAAGACGAAGATTGGGTGTCCTTCGACTGCCTTAGGGACGTAGCTTTCGATCCTGAGCGTAGGCTTCGAGAACAGGTAAGGTCTCAGTCACCCTTTGCCTTGATCAGATTCCGACGGGAGGAGTCGCTGATCAACGGTCGGGGTAGAACGGCCTGACCCTGAAAGCAATTCTCTCTGGAGCATAACATCGTCTGGCCAGCTCGTTGCGTACTCCAAACCGCGAGACCCCTACTTTCTAGTGCAGTGAAACCATGTCAATGTGCACGAAGGGGTCCCCAGGCCCGACTGGGTATGATGTGGCTGGCGACGGTCGGCGCGCCGTACCTGGCGTGGCCCGGAAGTCGAGGTCCTCGAAGCCGCAGGTGTGCAGCAAGAGCGGCAGCTCGGAGGCCATCTGGTACTGCGGCTTGCGTGGGAACACCCGCAGGTCCAGCAACTCACTCACAATCTGGATCGGACGGGAAAGACAAGAGAAAAGGAGGTCAGAGTGCGACCGAAAGAGCAAAGGGCCACACAGCTTGGCACGGGGAAAACGGAGGGCCGCCCGTGGACTGAGCCGCCAGTGTTGGCAGTTTTGGGATGTTTTCGATTGCGATTGTTGGCCAGGAACGATTCGTGTAGCCGAAGTAAGCCTTTTAGTATGTGGACTCGATTGTTCAAGCGCACTTTCAGCAGCTTTGAACACTGCCGGCCCAGGTTGCAAGGAAGAGGAAGCCTTGCGAGGAGGTGATCCGACGGAGTAGCCTTTCCGGTGTCCCGCCGGCCGGCTCACCTGGGGGCTCTCTTGGCCGTGACCCACCATGAACAGGATGGCCGCCATGCACCGCACCTGGTGCCACAGGAAGGCCCGCCCGCGCACGCGCATGTAGTACAGCTCGCACCCCGCCCACCTGCAGCCGCAACCAGAGTTTTCAGCCACTCCGGTCATAACCATAATAGAATCAATAAACGGATCTCCACCCAACCGACTCCATCAAATCCTGCTGCGATGAAACAACAATCTCCCTGCGGAGCTGCTGGCATTCCTCCACCTTTCCCGGCTGCATCATGTTCCAAAAAAAAAAGCTGGGAGCGGCCTCCCGCTAAGCTTAGGGCTGGTGCAGAATCCAAAGGACGTACCCTTCAGATGACGAGGCGCGCTCGATGCGGCAGTCCATGATGGTCCTTTCGAAGGATTTGACGTTCCTGGTGTCCATGCGGCAAAGGTTGCGAAAATCATACGTGCCAACGAAGCGGGCGGCAGCCTTCTCCATCGCCTGCAGACGAAGTATAGATTTGAGGAGAATTAGAGAAGTGGCTTGCTGACGGTTCCTTTTTTTACTGCACAAGATGTGGCCGAACCTATGAGCCTGGTCAATCGTAGATGGCCAATCCCCAAATCCAACGAGAGGGAGCGCTGAAGTCGAAGTGCGACGGAGTTACGACCAGACCCACCTTTGTTACTAAAATCCCCAACAAGTTTTCCGTTCAAAGCACACACACAACAAGACAACGCCGCTTTCAGACGCTGGAATCAAGTCAGTTTTGCCAAACGGACGGCTGACCTCGATGTCGAGTTGTCCCCGTACGAAAAAGTACTTGTACTCGCGGAACTTGCAGCTGAAGCGCGCGTCAAAGTCGGGCCGCACGGGCGACCATCCCGTAACCCGGATGTCCTCTGGGAGTGCGCGGTTCAGTGCTGCCACGTAGTCAATCTCCTCATCGTCGCCATCCGACCACTCCCCGTCATCCGCACGCTCGCGGCTGATGGGGAACTCCTGCCCCACGTCTTCATCGGGCTCTGTCTCGAGCAGCACCCAATCAGTGGCTTCGCCGCTGCCCCTCTCTTCCGCTACATGTCCGCCCAGATCAGAGTGGGGGCTGTGCGCCGACTTGAGGCCCGCTGGGCTCCAATCCGACAGCTCTACCTCGCCTCGGTTCCCCTCAATCTCGATCACAGAGCGGGACAACTCCGGATGCACCAACACGGACGCAGTCACGTCCCACTTGCGAGGGGGCAACCCAGGCGGCATTTCCGGAGCACCCCTCTCAGCATGGGGCACAGCTTCTGCAATGCTCTCCCTCAAGGCTTCCGCTGAATCTCCGCCCGCACAACGCCTCTGGGGCTCTGCCGGAGTGGCTGAGTGGGGGTCTTCGGGCGGACAGCTGGTGGACAAGGGGGGTTCCACAGCGGGGGCGGCAGGTGGCCGCCGGCAGGAGCGCAGCCAAAGGGCCACCACCTGGCCCAGGGCACTCACGCCTTTGTCGGTGCGGCCACACCTGGGGGAGGAGGGGGGGGGAGTCAGGAGGCAGCACCTACAGATCAAAGAATTGTGGGAAGCCACCATGAAGCGGACTTGCAATCCTCTTCTCAGATTGACAAGAAATCTCTCGCAGACATCAACATTTTGATCAACTTGTCACTGCAAGAATTTGACTCCAAGAAACGAGGCACAAGCATCCCAGCATGGGCAGACTGGTTGGGCTGACTGCAAGCCAATCGACTGGGATGATTGAGCACTCGGGAGAAGGGCACGAGGATACCGCCGCTTCAGAGCAATTCAAAGTCCACAGGGGGGATCACGATGACTGGAGAACTGTCCAGGCAAAGAGTTCCGCAAAGCTATCAAACCATTGTGATGCAACATGACAGGCAGTTCAACATACAGGGAAGTTCGAAACATGGGAATGATCGGTTCCAGAAAATGCTTTACCAGCAACGAAGAAGATCAAAGCCAGTACCTGGAGTATTGAGCTTGTGTACGCCCCCCTGGCGGCAGCAGCCTCGTCTTCTCCAGGGCGGCAAAGAGCTTTGACTCGATAGTCATGTCCAGAACGTTGCCCGGCTGCGACGCAAAGCCATGGTAGCGAGCCCCCATGTACATGATCCGCAGTGCGACAAAGCGGCGCGGGTAATGGGAGAGATCCACCTCCGCCGCAGCTGCCTTCTTCTTGGCCTTGCCCCCTCGCCCTCCGTTTAGGGCCGCCGCGACCGAGGCTCGGGCGGCGAGTGCAGCCGCGGACGCCGTGGCAGCAATCATTTCAGGGGATGCCACATACGTGACCGAGGTGCCTGTCATTGCCGACGATATCTCAGCCCCGGGTTGCTCGTTGTCCCCTGTCAACTCATCGTTAGAGTCCAGAGAGAAGGATAGACCGTCGAGAGGAAGCTGGGTTGCAGACAGCCCGGCCGCATGGAGGGCCTCCTGGACGTTGCGGGCGACCAGGGACTTGCGCACGAGCTCCAGCTCCTTCTTCAGGCGCGCGTTCTCCGCATCCAGGAGCTTTACCCGCGCCTCCAAGCTCAGCTCATCGTCTGAGGCAGACCGCTCAGAAACCACTGGGGTAATCAGCAAAGTCGCCATTTCTCTGCTTTAATCTCGCTAGGCCGTGTAGATTGTGAATCAGACAACCTACGTCATTGAGCGGCCTGGTAATCGGTACTGACAACCAACACAGAGAGGCGCGCTTTCATGCAATCTTAGCCGCTATTTCGAGAGCCAGAGTACCCTCCCATGCTGAAAAGCTATCCTAGAAGCGCCTCTAGTGCCTCTCAATGCCAAGCCCAGCACAATGGTGACTCTAGCGCACCACCGTGCCAGGGGCTGACGCCCGGATGCCAATGCCAAAGACGCATGCTCAGCTGGTCATGGAGCCTGAGGACCCGTGGGGCAAAAAGGTCAAAGAACTCAGTTGTAAAAGTGTGAACATCAAGTGTTCCAACCCCCTGGAATTATCTGTGTCTGAGCATACTGACCGGAAAAAATGCTCGGTACCTCAGCTATTGAAACTCCAGGTCATTACAGTCCAGGTCACCGAGCCACTTATTTGAACCGGATGGATACTAGGAGTGCCTGGATGAGATGACCGGGCTTGGTTGGAAACGATTCAGGCGTCTAGCCCCTTTACCCAGGCCTAAACTTCTAAAGCCTTCCCTTAGCTTGCCTACATTGCCCGGTGGTTTTGACCGGAGGGATGGACGTCATAGCCCGGGACTGCGCAGCCTAGCTAGGTTAGGGGTAGGTACTAGTACCACGATGAGGATGTTTGGCTCTCCCGGTACCGGTATTCATACACATGGTTTTGGAGATGCAATCACGGTCGAGTGTGTGGTACGGGCGAACACAAATCGTGCGGCTAATTATATCGGCCTAGGTAACACCTGCGTGTTAACACTTTTACAACTGAGTTCTTTGTACTACCTACTTACAACTTGCACCAGTGAGGTTGGAAGCTGTTCGATCTGAAAAGGGGGGCCAACCCGAAACCTCCCACGTGGCCAACTTCGCCGTTGCAATCTCGCGGCCGGGCTGCTCAGTTCTCGGGTTCTGAAGTGATGGGGTTAAGACTTAACACGGGACCATAACCAAGGGGTCAGCTGCCACGCTGGCGTTTTCTATGTTTTACCCCCGGAGCGAGCACTGTGTGCAATGCGCGGGCGCCGGCTGATCGCGCTTGTCTGAGTCTCGGTTGAGGCAGTGCATGGTGGTCTTGCGAAGGTAGTTGATTGGTGGGGCCCAGGGCCGGGTGGTTCACTGGCACGCCTGGCTGCCCGCCATGGCTTCCTCGGCGGCTTCCCGAGCCCAGGAGGCTGCGGCTGATGCGCTGGATCGGCGCGTGCGGCCAATTCTGGACCAGGTGGACTTGCGCAATTACAAGCAGGCGGTGAAGCTGGCGGACGCTGCTATCAAGAAGTACGGCGACCACCCGCTGTACCGCACCGTCAAGGCCATGGCATTGGAGCGCATGGGGCGCAAGCAGGAGGCGCTCGACCTGGTTACAGACGTCCGGTCGGGCCCGCTTAACGAGCATGTGAGGCAGCAATGGGACAATGCTGCGGTCCGATCGGTAGAATGGAGAGGTTTTACACTGCTGTTTGCACGGGAGTGGTGGTGCAATATTGTGTGGCCCTTGTGATCCTGTCTAGCACAATGCTGTTACTCTCTGAGACTGCGCTGAAAGTTTGGGTGCGCTGTGATGCATGGCATGTGGTGGCATTGTGCAGCTGCTGGGGATGATGCAGCCCATCTATCGGAACTTGGGTCGCTATGACGAAGCCACGAAAGGGTACGAGAAATTTGCAGCTGAAGATCCTCAAAACCCAGAGCGCCAGATCCAGCTTTTCAATGCGTACGCTCGGGAGTACGACTACCTTAAGCAACAGCAGGTGAGGCCTTATTAAGCCAGCAGTCCTGTTGCATAGTTTGAACGTGAAGGCAAAAGCTTGAAGCTGCTCGGCAGTGATCTTCCTGTAAACGCGGCCAATCCTGTCACGGTTCACATGCTTAGTCTCTTCCGTGCTGCCTGAAGTGGGACTTAATACCACCACCTTTTCATCAACCAATGGGCCACCTCTTACGTCCTAACTTGTATCCAAATCTGGTCCCCACTTGTGTCCTCCAGGTTGCGATGAAGCTGTTCAAGCAGCTGGGCCGCGAGCAGTTCCTGATGTGGGCCGTGTGCACTCTGGAGCTCCAGGCGCTGGCGGAGCAGGGGGGGCCCACTGGCGGTGGTGCCCGCATGTTGCAGCTGGCAGAGGCCCTGCTGCGCAAGAAGATGGGCCTCGCACGCCTGGAGGGGCTCGAATGTGAGGCAGACCACCCCCCAGACACCCACTCACCACAATACCTGCAGTCCTGTTGACAATTGCATTCCCCCTACAACGGCACTTGTCCTGGCGAAGGTGATGCGAGGCTGCTGGGTGTGCCCTCCTTGCAACCTGGAGCCAAAAGTGGGGCCGGTTCCAGTTGAGAATTCGAACCTAGCAGTCATTGCCGGCCTGGCCTTTCCATCCTGAGGCCTCGCCATGTGCATTGCGCAGCTCTGCTGGTGTTTCTGAGCATCCTGGAGCTGCAGCACAAGCACGCGGCTGCCCTGGAACTGATCCAGGGGCCCGCTGGGGCGCTGTTCACCCTGCCAGCAGACAAGGCTCGTGTCGAGGTGAGATTCCACATCAGGGGTCTGCAAGTGATGGCTCGCGAAAGTATTGGTGTTCAAACCTCTCGAAGCATGGCCACCCTGTCTGAGGAGGGCCTTCCAGTCGATTTGTGCGGGTTGCGCTTTGCCCTTAAACCGATGGGATCTTTCTTATTTTCACAGGGAGAGCTGCAGCACAAGCTGGGCCACTACAAAGAATCCGCCGCTGCCTTTGCGTCCGTCCTTCGCATCAGCCCCGACGACTGGGCAGCCTTCCAAGCTTACGTGGATGCGCTTCTAGAGTACAGGGAGGTTCCAGCCCAGACAGTAGAGGCAGCCGTGGCCTCTGATGCACCGGAAACCGTTACGGCTCTCGAAGCGGATAACAGCTGGATGGGTCCAGGGAAGCGGACGCGGCTGAGCTTTGATGAGGTCGAACGGCGCCTGGGGGAGGCGCACGACTTGGTTGCAGAGCTGCAGGCAGTGGTGGTGCAGTCTGGGGAGTTGCTGAGGGGGCTGTTCCTGGCGAAGGTCGAGCTGGAGAAGCGGCGCGCGGAGAGCGGGGAGCAGGCGGGCGGGGCCACGCAGGGGCAGCGCCGGGTGGCAGAGGCGATTGTCAAGTATTTCGACAGGTGGGCACTGCGACCAAAACTCTTCTTAAAGACAATCACAGCTTATAGTGGATATGTTCTGATAATTTCGAAGGTGACTCTTGGTCTTTCAGTGGCATCCGGAGTCAGAATGTTGAGTCAGGTAAGTCGCAAGTCAGACCAAGGAGCCGGCCAAACACAAAGGAGTCGGCGGCAAACATCGACACCGTTCTCGTATCTGTTTCTCATCTTTCGCTGCGGTAACAGCGTGAAGATGGAGTCCGCATGGGCGGAACAACTCTATAAGCCCACATTATTTTCAGCAACTTCGGCCTGTTCCGCGCCAGCATCGAGCGCCTCCCCTGAGTCGCCTGCGGCGTCCTTCGCAGGCACGGCACCATGGTGAGCTTCGCCCCGGACGTCCGGCAGCACGTGCTGTTCATCACGGACCCCGGCGTGGCGGGCTGGCTGGCCGCCCAGCTGCAGCAGGCTGCGGAGCGCAGCGCGGCGGCGCCAGATTGCAAGCCCGTCCACGCATTACGCAGGAGGATTGCTGCTGCGCAGGTGGAGGAGCAGCTGGGCCTCGTGCAGCAGCTGCCAGACGCAGGTCAGCGCGCACTACCCAACAATGGCACAAGCTTGTCAAATGAAAACAGTCCCCTCGACACAGTGATCCCTTTATGCCTTTGTGTTCCTTAGGTGTATTTAAGTATCTTCTTCTTGTTGAGGTCCGGGTGTATTTAAGTGTCTTCTTTTGGAAATGGTGGATGCCGTGAAAACGTTTCCTAATATCCGATGTCATATTTGACAGTTTAGACGATGCTTAGATTCTTCGTCGAGATAGTCAGGCTCTTCTTCTGGTGCGCACTGTTGCTGACCCGTGCCCTGTGTTATCTCTCAGAGCTGTACGCGCGCGCGGAGCGCCTGGCGGAGGTGTACCAGGCGAGCGTGCCGCTGCTGCACGGAGTGGCGCCGCGCGAGAGAGGCCCCGCGGAGGAGCTGCTGGTCATGGCGGCCACGTGCCTGGTGGAGGGCTACGTCAGGACGGGCGAGCGGGCACGCCTGCTGGAGGCGATCCTGGTGCTGGAGCAGGGGCTCTTCGACCGCAGGTGAGGGGCGCCGCTCCGCAGCGATCGGGCAGGCACGTAGTCGGATACCCTCTCTGTATCATGTATGAAGACGACGGCGATGGGTGTGCGTGCTTGGTGATAACCAATCTTCCGCCAGTGACCGGTTGAAATTGCAGGACAAGACGCATAGGCTCCCTGTGTTTGTTAGAATTCGTTTTGTGGTAAGGCTGCTCTGAGGGGGCTCGCCTGGTTGCGATGATTCATGACTCATGTTTATCCGCACGCTTTCCCCCTCGTGCCAGGTGGCAGTCGGAGTACAAGCTGATGCTGGTGAGCCTGTATCTGCACGCGGGCGCGGTGGGCCCCGCGCTGGGCTGGTACCGCCTGCTGGACATCAAGCACATCCAGGCGGAGACCATGGCCCACCACGTGCTGCCCGCCCTGCTGGCCTCCGCGCAGCGCGACGCCGCCGCGGGGCTGCTGCGCGAGCTGGCCGCCTTCCACGACGGCCACCTGCGCGACGGCGCCGACATGACGCTCACCGCGTACCGCAACGGCACCTTCTCCAAGGTGCGCGAGTTTGTGCGCTTCAAGGAGCGGCTGGAGCGGTCGCACCAGCGCCTGGCCGCGCGCACGGAGAGCCTGCTGCTGCGGCTGGCGGAGGCAGCGGACAACCCCACAGAAGCGCAGGTGAGGGAAGAGAAAGAGTGACGGGCTGCTCAATCGAAGTAGCCGCCGCAGCCCGGCGTTGTGATTAGGGCATTAGCGTGCTCCTGTGCAGCACTAGGATTGGGCGTCGGCCTTGACTGAGGAGTTTGATGGCCAGGCTTTTTGTGGTTCGAAGTCGGCAGAGCGTTCGTACAATGCCGGCCAACCTGACGATCGAGAGTTGTTTAGAAGTAAGTTGTGCACAGAGAAGCAAGCTTAGCATTGAGGAAATTCCTGCCTGAGTGCAGGTTTCTCCGTAGGGCATGGAGGGTTTCCTCTCCCGCGTTTGCCGCAATACCTTGACCTGGCCCTTTGTGTCTCCCGCCTGGCAGGCCCTGCTCGCGGACGTTGGCTTTGGGCGCGAGCCTCTTGCGTGGTCCACGTCGGACCGGCTGGCGGCGTTGTCGTTTAATGAGGACCTGGCCACCCGCCCCTGGTGGACGCCCACACCGGAGCAGTCCCTGCTCGACGCAGCGCCGCTCGCTGGGGGAGCAGCAAGGCAACCGTGGCACGCCCAAGAAGCGCAGGTCGGTAGGGAACGCCTTCGCAACCCAGTCACCGCCTATCGCTTCCTCGAGTAGGTTCGATGTCTTCTTAAAGCCTCTTGCCGCTTCCGCAAAGTTGAGCACGCTTATCTCGGTCGTTACAGACATCTGAAGAAAGGCTCTCGACCAGCCGCTTGTCTACTCCCGCGCTTGTCGCAGAGCCTTTGTCACAAACACAGAGTCCGAATGGAAGGCAAGTAGGCTATGACGTCTTTTTTTGGCCAACGCTAGTGGAAGTCGTGTCCATGTGCAGAGCGCGCGAGTTGCCCGGGATGCCCGGTGGCGGCGGTCGGTGCGGCGGCGGTGCCTCCTCCCGCGGCTGCTCGCGCTGACCCTCGACCTGGGGCCCGTCAGTGCCGCCCAGGCTGGCCCGCCAGCAGCGGAGCAGGCCACGCACAGCGAGCGCGGGCCAGCGGCCAAAGCCAGCGACAAAAGCGGGAGGGGCAAGGGAAAGAAGAAGAGCGGGAACAAGAGCGGTGACGTGGAAACCGCAGCCGGAGAGAAGCGCGAACCGGCGCCTACAAGCAACGGGGCTGCCGGACAAAAGAGGGAAACTGCGCCACGGGAACACGGTGGGGAGAACGGGTGTACCGCTGCACATGGGTCTCCACAGTCGCCGGTGGACGAGATGCGGCAGCTGGTGGACGAGTATGCGCGCACGCTGCGGCCAGACACGCACGCCGGGAACGCCCCCGACGCAGGCCCCAGCAGCCCTGGGGGGGCGCAGCCGCTGGATGAGCTGAGTCTGGCCGTGTTCACGACGAGCTTGCGGATCATGGAGGCCAGGGACGTGTTGGCGGGGAGCGGCACGAGCACGGAGGGGGCAGCGCAAGCAGCGGGTGGGTCACGAAAGGATTTCGCTCAGAGAACGCGTTGGCCTTATTTGGAGGCAAGATTTGTGCAGGCTTCCGGGCTTCCGAAAAGACCAATATCGGAGAGACGCCTGTGTGCAGTGCTTGTCAAACGTGAGGGCCATGCCGAAGACGCCGCTGACGTCTGCGTGTGGTTGACTTGTTTGTGCAGCATGTGTCAGGGACGGCCCTTTGTGCCTCTCCTGTTTGCCCCGCGTACTCCACAGGCAGGTGATGATGCAATTGTCACGTGTGTCTGTGCAGCCGCTCTCCCCGCACATTTTCAGTCCATTCTTGCTCGACTGCACGGCCTGGACGAGACCCTCGCGGGGCAGCTCTTCTCCGACCTGCCCACAGGTGAGGCCCGCCTCCAAGAAGTGATCACAGTGACGGTCTCTTTTTGGATCGGGTCTTGAAGGACCCATACATGGTATAATCAAATGGCGCTCGTTCGAAGCAACCGGCCCCTCTTCACACCACCCTCTTCGACAGCATCCCGCTGTGTTCAGGCTGGGGCCTCCAGTGGGTCGAAGGTCACCGGTCGCATCGCCGAGGTAGCGCTGCCTTTCACGTCTGTGCGTCACCGCATACGTGGCCAGTCTGGTTTCATAAGGACGCTCTTCGATGAACTCCTGACCCTCTTGTTCGCTCCTTGCAGCCGGGGCCAGCCTGCGGCTACTGTCTCCGGGGCGCGCGCTGCCGCAGCTGGCCACGCTGGTGCACGAGGCGGCCGCGTGGCTGCTCCTGGCGCTGCACAGCTGGGCCAGGTACGGGGCCGGAGGGTGGGCGGGGTACGCCGTGTCTCGACGGAAGACCCGTCTTAGAAGCACAATGGCATGCGCTCTTTCTTGCGGGGCCGTCTCAAGCTGTTCGCCTCGTATGTGCAGGGTGTTCCCCGCCTCTCTGAAACGCAAGAAGAAGACCGGCACGGAGGACGACGGGAGTGCGGGTAAGGCTCCCAGGATGAGCGGGGTGGGCGGGTGCCCTTCGAACTGTGCGGAATGCGTGGCCCTGAGGTGGACCTCTCCTTTGCTGGTGCCGACCCACAGGCACGGCATCACGCCTCTGGCAGGGTCGCCTGTGTAAGCATGTGCTGCACCGGCGCACAAATTCTTACTATCGTCACTTTGTCCAACCGTGGGACAGGCTTGTGGACCTTTGTGCATTCCCTTTCTGCGCAGATGCTCGCACTTTGGCGGTGCACGCTCTCCAGTCGCTGGTGAGCGGGGTGGAGGCCGTCTTCAGGAGCTGGGCGGACCGGCTGACGCAGTACCTTGCGCAAGCTGACGTGCACGCCCTGGCGGCCGCGCTCAAGGCCGAGCTCTCGCCCACAGAAACGGGCGGGCCCTCTAGCCAAGCGGGCCGGGTCCTGACTGCACTCCAGTCCTGGTCGCGCGAGAGGCAAGTAGCAATTATGCAAACGAGGGAGCAGAGCAGGGGCGGCGGAGAGGAAGAAAACGACGAAGCGGTGCTAGTCTTGGACTTGGAGGCCGTACTGAGGGCGTCCTTGGAAAGCTCCAGCGAGGTGCTCGAACAGATTCGGACAGCGTCGTTGTTGAAGGCAAATCTCTTCAAGAAGCTTAACGTCTGAGATGTCCTGAACGGTTTATGTTGAACCGACTCCTATTATAAGTCCATGAAGGCGTGATTAAGGCAGAATAATAGCTGCGGAATCTGGATGCAAGCATCTCAATGGTGACGCAGGTATTACGTCTGAGTGCTTCATTGCAATGTGTGACCTGTTGCTTAGATTGTTTCCGTCTGTACTCGAGTCCGAGCTCACGCTCGGTGTAATCGAAGTGGAGCTAGCTCCTGTCGATCAAGTTCTGAAGTGTGGGCTTCCGAGTAATGTTTCGTTTGCAATGTACCTAGGTATGCAACATTCATTCAAACGCTTTAGGTCGATTTGGTGGCTTAATGGCATGGAGGAATTGCATGATTAGCCTAATAATATTTGACGCGCGGCTTGAAACCATCAATACATGAAAGTGCTTCTTTTACCAGCATCAGTGTTCTCATGCAAGCTTGATACATGCAGAAATGCACAGCAAGAATTGGCTGTTAGGCTGCCTCTGAACAGAAGCCCCACAGAAAGGCTTGCTACGCTTGTAGTGCTAACTATAGCCCCGGGCCGTACTTATCATGGCACAGATTGGCCCATGAGAATTGGATGCCTGGAGTAACTTACGTGTTGCTTCTGCAGATCAAGACGCATCAGCAATCGATTGCCATTGCGTCCACCTCAGACAGCAGCCGAATAAACAACCCAGTCTAGCTCCCGGAACCCCAATTAAGGGCAGAGGGAGCATACGTGTACTGGCAACTTCACGCTTATCGGTAGTTCTATCGCAATCAGTGATAACGGGTCGTTATTGCAAAAGCAGTATGTTGGCCAAGCCTTTGAACTCAAGGTCAAGCGATGAGAGCCACAGCACCTCAAATGTCAATCACACGACCGGAAGCAACAGTCGGAAACAGAGACAGAGATAGTCTACAAAAGGTGTACGAAACCTGACATCGCTAGCGGCCTGGTGACAGGTGCGTTTTTGCTACATGGTGTGTGTGTGCGGGCTGTAGCCTGTGTGTGCCGACTACATGTTTGGTGTGTATTCACGAGGGTATCCAGACTGACATGCCCGAAGACAAGGCAGAACTGCTATATACGCGCTAGGTGCGAATGCAGGGCAACTCGAGCAAGTGTACCTAACCGCATATAGCTGGCCTAACTTATTCACGCCGGCCAGGCACGTTCCAATGCTGCCATCCAAATGTGGTGTCCCAAAACGTGATGTATATCAAGATGGTATTGAAAAGGATGTGGTGCATAGATGTTTGTAAAAAGCTTCCGGGCGGAGCTAGCTAAACCAAAAAGTGCACGACAGTAAAGTGCATACTACTGACAGATTCAGACGTTCGGCGTAGTGCTCCCTGAGAATATTTCTCTGGCTTGGTTGAGGCAAGAGTTGCCAGACTAAGTCAGAGAATGGCAAAGAATTGCCTTCCGAAGATATCTCAAAGGTCGATCGTCGATTTGAAGATCTTCCATGACCACGTGTTCTACCACGTGTTAGCAAAGTTGCAACTTGCTGGTGTTTCAGCCAGGTCACAAGGTCGGGAGCCACGTCAGCATGGAGGGTCTCCTAGGAGCACGCCACCTGGAAATTTTGGCGCGCCATTCTGGTGGCCATGGCCGAGTCCAGACCATCATGTCACGGTGGTACGGTGGGCCAAATCATGGCTGCAATGGTTGAGGCGGCGTTTCCGCACGCACCCGGCTGAGCTGCTTTTTGGAAAGCAAGACGGGTGCTCTTCCATTTCCTCACTGCGGGGCAGCTGATCTGGTCGAAAGTGGGTGGGGCCGGCTGCCAGGAAGGTCAACAACCTCCGGGAGGGGTGCTCGACGTTCCTGAAGGGGCAGAATTGACACCGGCAAGCCTGGTCTATATGGGCAAATATGATCCGCGTGACGAGCAACAGCGTCCTGGTGGTCCCCCCTTTCGAATGCGCGTGGCTGTGCGAGGAGCTGCGGTTCAAGCAGCCGGGGGAGGGGTGCGTCACATTTGAGGCGCGGGCCGACAACGACGTGACGGTGGTGTTCAAGGAGGAGAGCGGGTCGCGGCACTACCGCACGGACAGCGGGCGGCACTACACGGTGGTGCTGGGCAGCCACCGCAACAAGCGGATGCGCATTGAGGTGGATGGGCAGCCTGTGGTGGATGTGCCAGGGACGGCGGTCAGCAGCACGCAGTTTGAGCGCTACTGGATCGACATTCGGCAGGGGGTGATCACGGTGGGCAAGGGGGACCCTGGGCAGGCCGTGGTGTACCAGTGGACGGATGCGCAGCCCAACTGCGGGGTGCAGTATGTAGGGCTGAGCTCTTGGGACAAGTTTGTGGGCTACAGAAACATCCGAGTTTTGCCCACGCTGCATTCAGTGAGCGCACCTTCCGCCGATCAATCTATCCGCTTCCCCCTAGCCCAGTCCGGATTTGGGCAGTTCCTCAACAACAATGATCTCGCGGACGTGCATTTTACCGTGGGTTCCGCCGGCACCATCGTGCATGCCCACAGAGTAATCCTTGCCGGCTGCTGCCCCGCATATGCTCAACAGTTGGAGGCAGTGGGGCCAGAGGGAGCGATCGCCCTCCCAGCTGCCAAGGCTGAGGACCTGATCCATCTCCTCAAGTATGTCTACCTGGGAGCCGTCACGGTAAGCACGGGACCAGAGGTTATGCTGATATAAAGGTGGTACCTAGTGAAGGCCATCACTGCTCATAACATCTCCTGCTTGAAATTGGAATCGATGAAGGTCGTGCAACTGTCCGCTTGACGTCTGCACGCCTGTGATGCCGCCCTTGCCGTTGCCCTTGCCTGCCTTGGTTAATTGTGCCCTATGATTTTGGCCCACTCTCGGCGAGCCATCTCGGAAAGCCGTCCCTTGTGCCCCTCCAGGTCCAGAAGGGCCAGCTCAGCCGACTGGAGGACCTGGGAGCCACCTTCGGGCTGACTGCCCTGCAGGAGCGCATTGCCACTGCGCAAGAGGCCCCCGAAAGTGACAAGGTGGAGCTGCGGCACGGAGAGCGTGCAGGATGCCATGCTGCAGAGGATGCCATGCTGGCGCCCCTCCCGCTGATGACGGACCGCCTGCTCTCATTTCTGGACACCGGGCAGTGGGCGGACGTGGCGCTGTGCGTGGCCGGGCAAGGGGAGGTGGTGCGCGCACACCGGGTCGTCCTGAGCGCCTGGAGTGCACCAATGTGCCGGGTGAGAATGCGCCCGAGCAGCCGCGACGTTGTGTGAAGGTGACGTCTTCCGAGCGCCCGAAAGTTGGCGTGGTACGGGGCCACCAGGGTCCAATAATTTCAAGCGGTGTTGTTTTCTCCACATCAGCTGCCATGAGTAAGACGTGTGGGAAGTAAGAATGTGGGACAAATATAAACAAGAGAGGGACTTCCCATGTTGGTTTCTGATGTCGATAGGCGCAGCTAAGGCCGTCTTTTCTGGCTGTTGTGTGCAGATGTTCACCAATGGGATGCAGGAGAGTCGCACGCTGGCGGTCACCATCCACGACACGTCCGCAGCGGCGCTGCAGGCGCTGGTGCGCTTCATGTACTGCGGCCGCCTGGCACTGCCGGGGGAGGACAGCGAGGGCAGCCTGCTGCTGCCGTTGCTCGTCCTGGCAGACCGCTACCAGGTGCGCGCCCTGCGGGGCGCGGCCGCCGCGCGCATCCTCGAGCTGGCCAACCAGGTGAGCGCGGAAACCCCCTCAGTGAGCGGTGCACTCGACTGGTGTACCTTATCGTTCTGGATTGCGTCTGAAAGGGCATTGTACAAGTCGTCTTTCTGATGCTTCGGGGTCTCCTCCTGTGTCTACAACCATATGTGTGAAGCACAATTTTCCCCTGCTGGATGTTCGTTGAGCCACCGGCCATGTTGTTGGTGTGCAGGACTCGGCGTGCGCCATCCTGCAGGTGGCTGCGGCCCTGCCTGGGTGCGAGGCGCTGCAGCGCGCGTGCGAGGAGACGTGCGCCACCTGCCTGGAGTACCTCATCAGCCCGCCCTCGCCCGAGTTCCTCGAGCTGGACTACGCCAGTGTAGCCGCCATCCTGCAGGTGCCCGCTGAACAGCCCTCAATCGCGCCACTTAATCTGGTTATCAACTCGATGTTCCATCGCAATAATAAGACTTGAAATCCAGTCAGCTTTGAAGCACCATCACATGCTCCGTTGTTTGTAAATTGTCCCTCACGTTGCAGCATCTTGCTGTGGCACTCACCTTATGTTTGTTAAGGGTTACATATGTAGCGTTGTCTCTCCTCGTGCAGCACCCCCAGCTGAGCTTGACCTCGGAGGAGCGTGTCTTGGACGCGGTGCTGCTGTGGGGTGCTCGTGGCAGCGGCCTTGCCACCTGGCAGGCCGTGGCCGCCGCGGTGCGGGACAGCGGGGCCGGCGCCGTGTTCCGCGAGCGCTTTGACGCCGTGGAGCAGCTGCTGCCCCTGGTGCACTTCCCCATCATGGCGCCCGCCGTGCTGCAGCAGGTGCGCTGGGCCGCGGGCAGCCGAAGCGCCCGCGCTCGGCCGTGGCAGAGCCGCCCTTGACACACGTTCCGAGGCTTTTTGTTGAGTCTTGGTGCTTGCGTGTTGGCATCATCTCGAGTTTCGAGCGGATTCCATCGTCACCACACTCCAGCCATCTTCTGGGTCGCCGTCTTTATGAATTTCCTTGTTTTGTCCATCCTGCCGTAAGCAATGACCGGCGGGGGCTGTGTTGCGGTGTGGTGCGTGCAGCTGTGGCCCGCCTCCCTGGTGGCGGCGCTGCCGTGCCTACAGGAGCTGGTCCGGGAGGCGCTGCAGTACCAGGGCCTCGACCAGGACGTCTCCGCACAACACAGGTGAGCTACCGGCCTCCGTACCACTGCCACACCGCACTGCCGCTGACAGAACCGGTGGAAGGAGAACGCGGACTACAGTTTGCAGTCCCAGACACCCACACCGCCTGGTACACAGGGCGCGCGCGGGCCGGTACGTACTCCGTCAAGGATCGAACATCAGTGCGGCCGACGTTGCGGCCAATAGACCCCTATGTGGGTCGCCAGCGATCCGGCATGTCAAACCTCGAGGCTAGGCTCGCCGGCGGTGACGTTCCCAGACCCGGTGCTCGCGCACGGAGTACCAAGCGGTGTGGGGGTCTGGGACTGCAAACTGCAGTCCACGTTCTCCTTCCCTCCGTTCTGACAAGACCCAAGCGGCGTGCTTATCTGGTTGCGTATTCATCACGAGCACACGCTGACATCACTGGCAAGCAGCTGATCGACGAGGAACCTTGGTCGACGCCTCATGTACTCTTGGAGAAGGGTTTCCTTGCACTTCTCCAGGATCTTGATCTCAAGATTGGGATTCGCAGTAGCGCCTCCGCTATTGACATAGACTTCCCACGATGCTCTAGTGGCTGCTTCCGAGATTCGGACTTCGATCACTTGATCCTCTCGTGGCGCAGGCGGAGTTACCAGGCGCTGGACGTGGACATGGCGTCCCGTGCGGTGAAGCCGCAGCACGGCAACCTGCGCTTCCAGCGGCGCCTCTACTCGTACAAGGAGCTGCTGTACATCTGCGACGGCGACACGCACGGCGTGTGCCACTTCGCGGGCACCTCGTACGGGCAGCACCCCTGGATGAACCCCGTCGTCGCGCGCCGCCTCACCGTCACCCCCTCCAGCCCGCCCTCCCGCTACACCGACGGCAAGCTCATCGTCAGCCGCAACTACACGGTGAGGGCCCGCCGGCTTGGCGACCGCGGGACGTTGACAAAGCAGGGGGACGATGCTTGGTGCACGGCACTCTCATCTCCGAAGTTGAGGCCCCCCTTTTGTTTTGTGGCGCCGCTCCATAGCGAGATTGCACGGTGATGCGTCCGCGACTTCCCAGCATGTATCCTGAAGCAGTCCGGCATCTTGCAGTGCACGTCGTACGCGGGTCCGTGCTACGAGGACGGCCACCTCACCGCCTGGTGGAAGATCGATCTGGGGGAGGAGCATCAGGTGCGCCGCCGCTTGTGTACCCAGCAGGGCGTGCGCGGGCGGGGGGGTGCCGGCCAATGATTCGCACAGCTTTGCCGGAAGAAGTCTCTGGCGCCAGCTTGATGCCGCCCCTTCCCCGCGCCCGTCTTGAGATTGTGCTTAATCTAACATGGGATCGGTCTGTGGCTGCAGCTCATGTGCAATTACTACACGCTGCGGCAAGACGGGTCGGCAAACTTTCTGCGAACGTGGAAACTCCAGGTAACAGATACCTCTGTGTCGGCGAGTTATTGAAGATAGGAACAGACAAGCCCGCTTCGTGAGATGCCGGCCTCTTTGCGGACGCGTTTTGCATGTTGCGGGAGATCGGTTCGCTGGTCGATATACAAACGAGGACGGGCTTTGGTTGGGCCTGCTCTTTTGTTGCTTGTGGTCGCCACTCCCGTGCCCCGGCTGATGGGCGGCGGGGCGTGCGTGGCAGGGGTCCCTGGACGGCGGCACCTGGACGGACCTGCGTGTGCACAGCGACGAGGCGACCCTGTCCAGCCCGGGGCAGTACGGGTCGTGGCCCATCTCGGGGCCCACCGCCGCGCTGCCCTTCCGCATGTTCCGGGTCCTGCTCACGGGCCCTTCCACGAGCAAGTCGAAGCCGTGGAACCTGTGCTTATGCTACGTTGAACTCTATGGGTACTTCCGCTAGCACTGGCTCGAGATTGAGACAGGTGGAGCCTGAAGCGTTAGTTTCTTTTCTTGCGCGCTCTCGGGAACGGGCCTGCTGTTCTGGAAGAAGCAAGTCTCTCGCAAGCTGACATGTACGGTGATTAATCAGGTTTCGGTCATTGAGAAATGATTCTTTTGGGAGTCTGGGATGAAAACCAAATGAAGGCGTTAAGAGAACTGGTATATGTATAATTGGATAGAACATGCTGGATCACATGTCAAATGTTGAAATATGTTAAGGTAGTCGGAGTTCTTAAACTTAGGAGCTTTTGTAGTTGCGGTTTGTGCAGGACGAGCTATATGTCGAAATTGAATTGCGAGGGGGTGACAAATGGAATGACACTTGATTTACTTATTAGCCATTTTCGCGATGTGCATTCTAAATCTGCAGAAATCAGTGCCGCATGCACCCCGGACCATGCACCATGATGGAAAATCTGCCAAGTTGCAGACATGGTTTCCAGGCATGCTCGGCCTAGGCAGATCGCACAGTAAGGTCATGAAGCACATGCATGTATCTCCGGCAGGACGTGAAGGTTCCATTTTTAGGTCACCGACCACAGGTTTTCAGACCCAGCGTGGTTGCAAGTCACGCGTCCAAAATAAAGATGTAGCAAATATGCGGCGCGGCATATTCAGTGCATGACCGAGCTTTGCATTTGCTCCAGATCACACTTAAATTCTAATAACATTTATAGTATGCGGAAAGCTAGACTTATAGCTAGCTGGTATATTGTTGGGTGTAAAATTTCCGGATCAGATATTATGCCTAACATATGGTGCGCAATTCGAATTTGGACATCGGATTCCCCTTCATGGTGATATGTGGACTGTACCAACTCGATCGTCATCATGCAAGCGCGGCGGGAGTTCAACACATCAGGAAGCTATGTGATGTGCATGAGTAATGATTGATACAGTAGTTACGCCACATGAAATGTGAGGTAGCACATGTCATGTTAGTCATTTTGCTTTAAGTTGTTAGTAACCGCTTGGTAATAAGAATAGTAACATTCTTTGATGAAGCCCGAACTCCGAGATTGCTTGTTTCTGAGCCAAGGGCCCGTGCCTACGCGTGTATTAAAAGAAGTGACCATGCAAAAATAGAAATAGATACAAACACTCTCAGACTAGCCTCGCAGCAACTGCATCACAATGACGCAGGCTATGCAGATTTGGCCCTGTACTCCCATGCGAGTATGTGCATACTTGCAAACTTTTTTCATATTGAGCCCAACAGATCCAGCTTTGGTTGTGATGATCCATAAGCAATCAAACAAAGAACAACCTACCAACCCAACTAAAGAGATAACAAATCATTATATCAATGTTACTGCCTTGTTAACGTGTGCTTTTGCTTAATTACCAAAAAGCGTGCGATAGTGAGCAAAGTCTCCAGATGAATGAGCTAGATGCTCACTCGTCATTGCTGAAAATAGCAGCTTTTGGAAGGGGCATGAACATGCTTGGTTGTTCATTGACGAAACCATATTGGGGTCGCCTGAAAACCAAGCTCCAAATCCCCTGTAAGCAATCTCAAAAACCACGAATTTTGCATACCTCAATGCACTTTACCAGAAGGATGAACATAGAAGCATTTGAAAGTTCCAAACAAGAAGCAAAAGAGACCCTGGAAGTGAACTTGGTAACCCAATCGGCAGCCAAGGTTTTAGAAGTGGGGGGGCCAATCTCTAGATAAGAGTGTCTTTATGTGTACGTGTTTGAGCAGGCACCTTATCCTTCGAAGCAGGCGGACATCTTTCCAGCATCAGTGAGAAGGGAATTGAATCTCAACGTCTATGACACTCGGCAGAAAATTGCACGAGCTGTAGTTTTGTCTTAGATGCTTCCCACGATGGCCAGAATGCAAGCAATGCAAGAAGCTACCCCAGAAAAAATGCAAAACCTCCGCCGGCCACCAGCAAATCGTCTGCGCATGAAGCTTAACGGTGCAGAATGTGCTTGGAGAATAAAAAAGCAGATTTGCAAGGCACGAACTGCGCCCAAAGGACTGCTAAGGGATGCCTTTTCGCGCTGTTAGAAAGCTCGAACGCGGGTGCTCTGAGGGTCAACAGGGGCAGCACACATCATCGCGTGCTCTACTCACCACCTATAGAGACTCATGTGAAGTCCTCCAAACTGTCCCCGCACGAATATCACACAGCTAATTAAAAAAGCGAGAACAGATACCAGAATGCACCAAAATAGAACGCGTGGTTTGCCAGGCAGACGGTCATGAGTACAAATACCTGCAGGTGTGTGGTGAGGTGACAACTGCGCACCCCTTTGTGAAAAGAAGGCCCGGACTCTCCGTTCTGACTGCACCATTACCATTCCAGCAATCTGCCAAACCGTGCGGAGCAGAGGCTCTAGCAAGCTTGAGACAAGCAATGCTAGGTCACTGGGTTCAACACAGGTACAACATTCAAATGCAGGTTCATGAGCAGATATTGTCTTGCTTGCTGTAGCAACACTTTGCAAACCTACTAGGAACTTCCTTTAACTCTAGAGCCACTTGTATGGAACAGAGCATAGCAGCCTCCCTTATCTAGGATCAAAGTCTGTGTCTTAGATAGACTGGTTCAATTCGTCCAGATACTGTACATCCAACAGCCCTGCATTTGCTTCCGTGATCGGCTCGTTGTAGTTCGTGTCAAATGATGGCATGCTGCCCCTGTCCTCTCTCCTGGCCCGTGGCTTGAACACCTTGGGCTCTTCCCCGATCAGCGGCATCGTGTTTCCATAGAAGTCGTCATTTCTCTTCCTGGCAACCCGTCTGTCCCTAGCGTCCCGTTTCAACTTTTGCATCAGTCTCCGCTTCCTTTTCTCCTGATTGTCCTCATGGAAACGCTTCCGTCGAACTTCGAAGAGAACTCCCGACGACTTGACCTCACGGATGAAACGCTGAATGCCCCTCTCTAGGTCATCCCCCTCCATGAACTCCACCTCCGCATTCACAGGGTGCTGCGACATGGCCACCCTGGCACTGCAAACCTGCCGGGGGAGAAGCAGAGGCGTGGGTCGCGAGCAGGTAACCCCATCTATGCAGTTCTTTTGCCGCATCCCGCTAAACTGGCCCACGGGAGCAACAGCCCCCATGCGGCACAAACTAATGCTACCCGCCATCCTGCTGCAGGTCGACCACCCCACACAATCACAAAAGAGGTGATCCTACTCTGCACTGAAGAGTCGCCCTCCAAGGCTGCACGACGACCCTGGTCGGCAATGCAGAGCCCCTCAATCCCGAAAAGCGCGTCCTGTCAACTCTTCCTCCTTGACAATGGTAGGCCTACCTACTCTAGGGTTTGATCTAGGGAGGGGGAAGGGTTTCGTGGCTTGGATAGGTTTCCTCCAAACCCGAAACGTTAATGCAAGTGAACCAATTTTAAAGTGGAAGCTCCTGCAAAATTCAAAACCAGATTACCGTATCCTGGGTTTCAGATGTCAAGAAACCGACCCGGTATTTAAACCCCGGTTTTCGTCGTCCGGGTTTCTGTTGCCAATGGGCCATGGCCATGCTGCTTTGATTTTGTTCAGAAAGCTGTTCACTCTCAATCATAATGCATTGTGCAACTAGGAGTAGGAGGATGGGCAGCCAATGCCAATGGTGGCACATAGGAACATGGCATCGCCCCATTGAATCATGCAATTGAGGGAGTCGCAGCTTGGTGCTGAAGCAAAAACCGTCAAAATTATGCTCGTTGAAGGCTGACACTCCACGCCGGCGCACCATGTCGCGTTTGATTGGTGACCTGACAGGGAACATCTTTGAGGAGGCGGACTCGGGTTTTGGCCTGGTGAGCCAGCCGAAGTCATACAAACGGCCTCTCCTGTCTGCTGAAGCGCAGCCGCGGGGGGCCAGTGGCTTTGTGGGCCTGCAGAACCAGGGCATGACGTGCTACCTCAACAGCCTGCTGCAGACCATGTTCCTGACGCCCGAGCTGCGCGCCGGCCTGTACCAGGTGCCACTGCAAGAGCTGGGCTTGAACGCGGACGAGATGCAATCGGAGGCAGCAGCAGGGGAACCACTGGGGGCCACCCCCAAGGAACACGAGGAGGCAAAGCAAGGCCAGATAGATGCGGGAGCAGCTGCGATGGAGTCGCTGATGGGCATGGGTTTCCCAGTTGATGAAGTGGAACGTGCGCTGAAGAAGTTTCACAATGACGTGCAGCGAGCAGCGGATTGGCTGCTTGCCCGGGCATGCTCAGGAGACAAGGCGGAGCTGCCAGACGAGGATACAGACACGTACGAGGACCTGCCGCCCTTGGAAGCGCCGGGGGCTGACGACAGCAGTCCACTGATGGGGTCAGAGGGGTTGATAGTCAGCATGGAGATGGACAAAGAACCAGTGGAGGGCCCTTTGACAGCAGTGGCGCAGGATGCGGTGGACGCTTTCAACAAGCGCTTGTATGACATGGATGAAAGTGGTATGGAGGCAGAAGGGCTGTCGTCATCTCAGAAGAGCGTGAATGGGGCCAACGGCAGTCAGGAGCATGGCAGAGGAACCCAGGGTGGGAAGCACAGAGAGACAGAGGACGCTGAAGGGGAGGAGGGGGAGGAGGCAGCGGCAGCCATTGGTGGTGACAACACCGCAAATACACCCGCGATTGCTGTTCCGCCAAAGCCAAAACGAAGAAGACGGGGCCTCATTATTGAGTTGCAGAAGGCGTTCGCATGGTTGCAGGTGCGTCTTAGCCCTGGCGGTCAAACACAGGGTTGATGACAAGTCTCTGAACTGTTTTTCGTTCATATGTGTAGAGTCTGATGCCCACTCTCTTGCAGATTATCTTGAGATTTAATGCACAGCTTCAAAGGTCCCTGCAATTCTTCGTCCTAACGGAATGCTTTGGTCTCCATGGAACGTAGAAATTTTGGTGGAGCAGGTCTGCAGAGCCATCTGGACAGGGCCTTCACAGTAACAGTCCAAGTCAATGACCTCACAAATGGTGTCCCTGTCGGTTGGCCAGCCAGTACAATCGGAATGCAGGTTTCTGTTTAGCCCCTTCTCAAGCTCGAGTTGCTGCCTTCTGACCTTTGTTGCGACATTTCTGGGCAGGCCGTTGACCAGAAGGCCATCTCTACGGAGGACCTGACGCGGGTGTTTGGGTGGGACGGCAGCGAGGCGCGCGTGCAGCACGACGTGCACGAGCTGAACCGCATCCTGTTTGAGAGCGTCGAGTTCTACCTCAAGGGCACCCAGCAGGAGAGCCTCGTCAAGGACCTGTACCATGGCACACTCGTCAACCAGGTGCGCCACAACTGAGCCACGCTACACCCGTACGCCAGATCTTCCAGCTTGATTATGCCAGTGCCTTCTCTACGGGTTGATACGGTAGGACTGTCATGGGCTCTATGGACGCATCGTTCACATCAAAATCGTCTGTGGGTTGGGTCTCTTGTTGACGAACTTTGCATGTTGCTGGCACAAGACGTCTTTCTCAAACTTGCGGAAGATGTTCATTGTGTGTGTGGTGCATCTATTGCGCGCAGGTGGAGTGTTTGCGGTGCGGTGCTGTGAGTGAGCGCCACGAGGAGTTCAGCGACATCCCGGTGGTGGTCAAGGGCTTCTCCAGCCTGGAGGAGAGCCTGGCTGCCGCCGCCAAGGCCGAGATGCTGGACGGGGACAACCAGTACTTTTGCGAGCGCTGCCAAGCCAAGGTACGCCCTCAACACACCCCCTTCTCTGGCCGCCCTTGCCCGCATTGCTTGCATTTTGCTTCTGGCAGGGAAGCCCCGCCCAAGTCGAGCTCCTTCCTGAGGTACCCTTGTGACGTCTCGCAGGCCCAGCCCTCAACCGAGCCTGCTCTCTGTGTGCAGGTAGATGCGCAGCGGTCCCAACGCTTCCGGTCGCTGCCGCCCCTGCTCACGCTGCCGCTGTGTCGCTTTGAGTATGACTGGGACCGCGACGAGCGACGCAAGATCACGACCCCCTTCTCCTTCCCCCTCACCCTCAACCTGGCCCCCTACATGGCACCCCCCTCCTCGGACGGCCAGCCCGCCAACCACGACGCGGCAGCTAACGGGAGCGCAGGGGCGCCGGGCGGCCCTGGTGGCGCGGCGCTGTTTGACCTGCTGTCGGTCGTGATCCACAGCGGGAGCGCACACAGCGGGCACTACCACGCCTACATCCGCGACATGCTCAACGAGGGCAAAGGACGCCCCGAGGGTCCGACAGCGGGCCAAGACATTTCGTGCGGCTTTGACGTGGCGGCGGGGCTGGAGGGGCAGGTGCGAGGGGGCATGCTGTATGAGGGCGCCGGCTTCAACGAAGGGCTGGAGCAGGCAGGGTCCGCCATGCATGCACTAGTGGAGGCAGCGGTGCAGGAGAGCGGGCGGGATGCTGCGGCAGGCACCCCGCACCAGGACGGCCAGGGGGTGACGGACCAGCCAGGGGAACCGAGCGCGGGCAGCAGTCCGGCCGACGCGGCGGAGGGCATGGATGAGCCAGACTACGGAAACTGGTACGACTTCAATGACAGCAACGTGAGTGTGGTGCACTGGTCCGCCATCACGAGCCAGTTTGGCGGCGGCAACGAGTGCGCCTACATGCTCACCTACCGCGCGCGCCTGCCCCCTGGCCAGCTCCTTGCACCCCCTGCCCTGGCAGCAATCGCACACGAGGCACACGAATGCGGAGAAGCAGGGCCCCTGGCGGCCAACGGCACTTCTCATGCTGGGGGCGTTGTGGCGACTGTTGGGGGACCTTCTGGAGAGGCCAGCTTACCGGATGTGGCCCACAGAGCCCTGGCTGTTCCTGGCCACCTGGCGCCTCTGGTGCACAAGAAGAATGAGCAGCTCCGCGAGGAGAGGAGGATCGCGGAAGAGACGGCCGCCAAAGAGGTGAGCAGCGGCGTCGACACTGTATCTTGGTACCAGGGGTGGCGGCCGCTACAAGAGTGCACACAGGCTGCAGCCGTGGACGGGGCTTCCCTGCATGCGAGCAGGGATTCGAGCAGCTTGCGCACTGTGACACACTGCGATATGGGGTCGGAATTCCTTCTGTATGTTGTTCCGACACTCTCCTGATCGTGCTATTCATATGTAGTGAGGTCTCTCTCCTGGTTTGCCTTCTTGCAGGCTGCAGAAGCGGAGGCCGCTCGGGCGGCCAACCAGGTGCGCTTGTTTGTGCATGTGCCGGATGACGGGTATGTGCGCAGCGGGTACCTGTACAGCCGGCACGAGGACCTGTCGGACGTGGGCCGCTTTCTGGTGCTGGAGCGCAGCAGCACCGTGGGCCAGCTCAGCGTCATGGTGCGCAACTGGTGCTCCCTGCCCGCACCCGAACTGGCGCTCTACATCGTGTCGCCCAAGATCGATACGCAGGAGTTCGACGAGCCGGCCGACGAGCAGGTGCCGGCAGCGGCGGGGTTCGGGGGCCTGGTGGACTGGCGGGAGGAGAGGGGCGGGCCCGGGAAGGAGGCGGAGTCGGTGACGGAGGACATTGTGTTGGACGAGGACGGGGAGGGCGTGGACAAGCAGGCCAACGGCGCCGCGGACGGGGGGACGCTGGAAGAGGACATGGGAGTGGATGGTGCAACCCCGGAGGTGAGCATCGTAGCCAAGGGGGAGAGTGAGCCCCTGGCAGGCACGCCCATACGAGATGGTGAGGGGCTCAACGGTCGCGGGCTGGAGGGGGCGCAGGGGGCGTACCCGCCACAGCGCAGGCTGACTGACGTGTTTGAGGGAGTGGCGCAGAATGGGGACGAGCGAGCGGGGGCGAGAGACGGCGCGAGGGGCGTGGACCGGGTGGGCACGTCCAGCAGCGGGTCGAGCGCGGACAGCCGCTCCCGGGGCGTCAAGCGCGCCGCGGAAGGGGGCGAGCTGCAGAGCCGGGGCAAGTTCCAGCCGGAGATCATCCGCGGGCCGCAGCTGCTGGAGTTTCGTGAGCCGACGGAGCCCCAGACCAGCTCCGAGAGCGAGAGGCGGTCCGCGGGGGCCGGGGAGGGGCCCGCCGCAGCCGAGGGCAGCGGGGTCAGCCTGTCGGGCAGCGGAGGAGCAGGCCTGGCAGAGGGGCTGAGCGGAGTGAACCTGGCCAGGCAGGCGGACGGGGACGGAGGCAGCATGCAGGTGAGCCGCGAAAGCAAAGGGAGGGACTGAGATGCAGGAGGGCACGTTGAGTTGCACGTTGGTTCTCAGTCAGTGTTCTTTGCGGTTTATTATTCGTCAAGCAGACCGACGGATTGCCGACTTGCGTCACCGAATTCTTGCTTCCGTCATGAAAGGCGACAGGCCGTACCTCCTCTTTGACCGTCGTACTGAAGTCGCAGAGCCCGGTGTTGTTGTCAGGAGGCACCCTGCTTGTTGGTGGAGCAGCCACGCACGAAGAAGGTGCGGCGCACGATCTACGAGATCCAGGGGAGGCTTACCATGCGAGACTCTGCACAGAAGCTGGGGGAGCAGATCCAGAACGGCGGGGGCGTGCTGGCCTGGAGTAATGTGAACCTGCCCCCTCATGGTGAGGGGACGCCCCCTCTCCTGAGCACGACGAAGTAGCAACGTGCTCGAAGCGCCCCAACAAAGCTATCGACAATACTTTGCTAGGGTTCCTTTGCAAGTGGAAACAGCGAAAGGGCACGCGCTCAGGAGGAGAAGGAGGTAGACCCCGGGTGAGGCTTCTTCGTCAAGCCGGTCGTTTGTGATGACCGCTCTGTTACCCTGCGCAGGCCTAGACTTTCTGGAGGCCGAAGACACGACTCCCATGGAGGACGGTGGCGGTGAGGCAGCTGCACTCATCTCGTCGTCGTGCTTCGCAGTCCACCAAGAGCTCAGGAACCGCATGCTGCCCGAGTAGCGAGAGCCATGGATCCGGCTGGCTGCCGGGCATGAGCCCGCTGCAGCCCCAGCACGCGGGCATCAATGGAGCCGCATGGTCATGACCAGCTTTGCTGCAAGGCTGCCCACTTTCTTGCTCTAGCACGCCTGGCGTGTTGCCTGCCCTTCTCCATGACTCTCAGGCCGCTGTCCTCTCGTCTCCGGTCCAGGTGTGGGCCAGGGGTGGACCTCCTCCGTGGACAACGGGTGGGACGTGCAGCCCTCCGGGTGGGGCAGCCCGCCGCGCAGCACGCCGCTCTTCACCGTCAAGGTCTACATCCATCTGGACCCCGAGTGAGCGCCGCCACTCGCGGGGCACCCCTTGAGGCAGCCCTGTCCTGAGACAAGACTGCTGCTCAGCGAAGCTCCTAAAAGACAAGCGCTCGAGGTACTCGTCGGCCGAGCTCGCTCTTGCGTGCGGATTGGAGACACTTGCATCTTCTGGAACTCTTTTTGACGGTGCGTGGCTCGGTTGGATGCAGTGCAAGCGTGTGCCTGGAGTCGTTCCCGGTGGAGGCGAACACCAGTGTGTGGATGCTCAAGAGCGAGGCGCTGAAGCGGTACCGCGCGCATGCACACGAGGCGCTCGGCGAGGACGACGTCGTGCTCTGCTGCCAGGCCGCCGCAGGGGGCCCCGGGGAGACCTTCGACGACAGTGCACTGGTGGTGCAGGCCGGCATCACCGACCAGCAGGTGCGCAACGCCGCTGTGCCGCTTCCTTGACGGCGCGCCCAGTCTCCTGTCCAGGCCTGCCAGATGCTCGGACGAGAACATGTGCGTGCTTTGTAGTCTTGTTGCGGCGGTGTGTGACGGCGTGCGTGGTGTTCCCGCAGGAGGTGTGGGTGCAGCGGCGCTCTGCGGCCCCCTCGTCGTCGTCGGTGCTGCGGCTGAGCATGACCGTGTACGGCAAGGACGGCATGGCGGCTGCGCAGCTGCCCATCGAGATGCCGCGCGCTGCGCTGCTCGTGGAGCTGGTGGTGAACGCTAGCGAGAGGGGGGCCGCCGCCATCCGCGACCACGCCGCAGCCATCGGGGCGGAGGCCCCGCAGGAGCCGCAGCTGGTGGTGTGGCGGGACCAGGCGTTCGGGGGCAAGAAGGCGCTCAACGTGGACCAGGACGCGCTGCGCACGCTGGAGGCCCTCGGCTTCGAGGATGGTGAGCACGCAGCGCCCACATGGGCCGACACGCAAGGCTGGCCACTCAGCACGCGGTGCTTCCTTCGTGCGCCATCTGCGTGCCACGTGGCAAGAAGCGTCTTCATGTACGACATGCTGACGCCCTTGGGAGGCCCCGCCTGTTGCCCTCTGCTGCTCCCTTGTTCGTGCGCATGAGCTTGTAGCCTGTCCTGTGGTGCAGGTGACCAGCTGCTGGTGGAAGATCAGGACGCAGTGTCCCCCGAAACAGTGACGGTGCGCGTGCAGCGGTACGTGCTGCCGCACGATCGTGACGCCGACGAGCCGTGCGCCAAGTTCCTGGCAGCCACCATGGCCGCCACCAGCAACCTGCACGGGCCACCCGAGGCACCGCCCGCGGCCGGGGACGCTGCGCACGACCAGCAGGTGGGGCCACCTGCACGAGCATGATCGGATGAGGGCTGCGCTGCAGAGACCCTGCTGGCAAGCTCTGGCTGCGTGGAAGCAGGCCCTCCCGTGACGTGCCACTCGACACCATCACATTGCCGTTGTTCGCCTCTAACGGTGCTGTCTCCTGCTGTTCAGGCGATTGCTGCTCAGGCTAACAGCCTGGCCGCAATTTTCACTGCTGAGCTGGCGAAACGGAAGTCTGCCGGGGCAAAAGCAGCCCGCGGTGGGGTTC